ATCACTGGAGTGGTCAGTTGGTCCCATGATTCTTCATGTTTCATAATGTATGTTTACTATAAGCTTTTGTTTTTAATTTCCTTTTTCTTTCTCCAGAAGGTGAGTGAACAGAGAAATTAAGCAGCATAAACCTGTGTAATAGCATAGCAAATAAAACTAATTTTGTAACATGATAAAAGGATTTTACACCTGGAATTATAGGTATCTAGGAACATGCCTTTAATTTCTGTTCTTATTATAATTCTTTTGTTGAAAATAATTACTATAATTTTTAAGAGCTCACCACAGGCTTAAGCCTTATCCAGCAAATAAAGACCCTTGACTGCTTTGGTGCAGGGGCCTTTTGAGGAAGAATATTGTAACTGCTATCTGTCTTTCCCAAGTAGTATGCTTGTGATCCACAAATAGCAGTTCAGCGACTGGTTTGTGTGACTGATCTTGTGAGCAAATTTACCCAGGCTTCTTAGGATCCTTGCTTCTATACCTCATTTGCCTTTCTCTCCCTCTAATATCTGAGACCGTACTTTGAAAGTATGTTTTCTCCTTCAGCATAACATTTGAAAAATCCATTAAAATTATATATTTTTGTGTCATTTGTCATTTTAGGTCAACAGACTTGCTGAGCACTTGTAGTTCTGACTGGTCCACAAAACATCCATCCAGCTTCTCCCCTCTTTTCCCAAGTTATGAAAATTTCTAGAATCATCTAATAAAATTGAGACCATTAACATAAAAGATCAAAAGCCATGAGATTAGGAAGTGTCACAGGAATGCCCTCAGTCACTGCTGTGGCAGCAGATATCAGTGAAATGAAAAAAAGCCATTTGGCCTGGGGCAAATGCCTTTCTGACTCCAGTAGTCCTTTCCAGTTCTCTTTCCTGGACAACCTTTTCATCTACAAGTCCCTTATTTAATGAATTACTCTGAAGGCTGGAAGGGATAACTTGAATACTTCATCTACTCAGTATGTAAGGTGGGAAGAACCCAATGTTATTTTGCTGCACTAACTGTCTGCACCAACTCTGACATAATTTTGGACAGGAAAATGACATCGTCAAATTGTTCCTCAGGCTGCTAGAGACCATGCACCAGTTTGAGAAAAACCTTTCATCAATCAGCAGGCCTATGCCCAAGTCTGCATCCTATGGACTACTCAAGCCTCATCCACATAACCCAGTTGCCTGTTATCACTATTATCTGGGTGCTTGTATGCTTGTTGCAAGGGGGGAGTGTGGTAAACCTGCCCAGTGAGATGCTGCCTTGCATACAGCTCCCCAGGAAAAGCTGTTCTGCTTCATGTGGCAGAACATGTTAATGGGAACTTAGGAACCTTGTGGGCTTGGCCCATTTGGCAAACTCTCAAAACACCGCAGAACATGCTCCAGGGGAATGGCAACTGTGGCCACAATTCATCTTTAGACCCCCCCCAATAGCATTAAAAAATGCAAACAAGGTATTTCAGCACCGTCTGAATTTGCAGTGATGCTCACTGGAGAAGGACCCGCTGAAGGTTGTGAGAAAGTTTGAAATTAAACTGATCTCTATGTGTGCAAGTCTATAAAAAGGAGCAACCCTGACATAGCAAAGGGTTGAGCTGGCTGTGGGACACCTTGGTCAACATCTTCAGTAGATCCAGTGTAGACAGCAGCACTAGGCCCTGGCTGCTCAGGCAGTGTGGTGCAGTAAAAATGCATCAGTGTTCTCCCTTAAACATATTCAAGATGTTTGCCACATGACTGCTGGATGACTCTATCAGTGTTTGTAGAGTGTCAGATAAAGTGCATGGCTCCAGGGTGAGAAATCTTCCGGGTGAGATTGAGCCTATTCTTGCAGGAGGCTGAGGTGTCCTCAAAGCCTGGGGGATAGAAACCTTCCTCTCCTACTGTCAGATGCATGTCCAATCTCTTTGCTCTGGGGGGGGGGAACTGTTGGGCAAGAATGAAAAATCTCCTGCAGTTCACATCCTGCCCAGGCTGCAAGGAGGCAAGTGGCATTCTTCTCTGTGGTTTAAAACGTTTTCTTTTTCATATGCAACTCTGGGATTATTCTTGGAAATCCGGGGGATAGCTGTATCTGGGGATGCATAAACATGCTGATAATTACAGGAGCTATTTGCTGTGACTCTTACCAAGTACAATAACTTGAGATGGTAAAGACAGTTATAGTGTTAAATAAGAAGTGAGAAGTAAGATCTGACAACTTTATTATGGTTGTTGCTGTTTGAGAAGCCACTACACAGCTAGTAAGCATACACTGCATTTAGCACGTCTTGCTGTTTCCTTCTGAAAGAGAGAATATCTTGGAATGTTAGAATTAACAGCCCTGTAGTGCAGGTCAGAAACACTATCAAATAGAAAGTAGGGGCAAAATATGCCTTAAGTTTATTCTAAACTCTCAGAGATGTATGTGCATGTGTAAACACCAGCATGGTATTAGGAAAGACAGGGGGTTGATATTTTTCCTGTTAGAAGCTTGCAAATAATAACTTTACATGCTCTGCTAGCTTTTGTTGCTAAGCTGAAATTGTCCTTGTGTGTGTGCGTGCACTTGCTTGTGCTGTCTAGGGATTGAGAGAAAATGCGTGCACATTTTTTGACAGTGTGGCCTGTCTGAGGTATAAGTATGCATATGACACCAGGCACTGTCCCATATACATCAGAAAGCCCAACTTGTCCTGGCCTGATAGCAACTTTCAAAGTCAAGCTTGTTTGGCAAGCCATAGGATAGGTGTAGTCCTCTAAGTTCAGAGCTCCTCTGACTTCTGGGTACTGAGGGTTTTGGAAAGTGAATTTCATAACTGCTTCTCACCTTATGTCTTGAAATTACGTGGTCAAAACATAGCATGTGGCCTGTACCAAAGTTTAGTGGGAATGAAAATCAGATCTGGAGCCAAATTCTATGGTTTCACACATCTGTACTGGAAATAGAATATTGTAATTTTATGTTATAAACCATTTGATGTACTTGTACACTGTATACTGTATCCAAGAATAAGCTCTCTTGTGTTGTTTTATGCAAGAGTAAACTTGGGATGAACTGCCTTAATGGGAATTTCCTGAGTCTTGATCTTGACCCTGCCATGCTGCTTATTCCTTCTCACTTATGTAGTGCTAATTTTTTTAAATACCATTATATTATATGAGCTATTAGTAGGATATTCAAATTATTCCTGGATAAGTTTTTGTCTCCTGTTTCTCTGTTTTTCTTTGCATTACCTGACCTTTAGAAAAATACCATTAAAATACATTTTCTGCTGTACATAAATGATTTTAAATTAATTGTTTACTAGATATGACATTTACATGCATAGTGAGTCACTTACGCATGTGAAAGAAGAGACTAGGATAGCTTTTTTATGTCAGGTGTACAGTACAACATTTCTGTTAAGTGTCCACCTGTGATCAATAGCCTTGTAAGACCTTTGATGTTTGATTTACAGGTTACAATCAAATTTTTTGCCCGTTGCTGTGCTGAGGCTGATTTTACTTTTAAATGCTTGTTATCTTCTTGAGACACTTGCTTGTGAACTTAGCCAGAAACACAGTATGAAGCTGAATTCTACTGTATCTCTGGGAGTCATTAATTTCAACCTATTCATGTCCCTGTCTAGTTCCCTCTGAGGCTGCTGCCTTTGATTGAACCAAAGCTTTGCATTCACACATTACGTAATTTGTGTAAATGTATATATTGTTTAACTCTCGTGCTCCTAGTAATCAATCTGTCTGTAGCAAAGACATATTTCCCCCCAGAAAGGCAGGTGGGGCACCAATGGTGTTCTTAAAAACATCAGACTGATGGCTTAGAGTAGCAGCTTGATGTACTCCTGCTGGAAGATCAGCACCCTGAGCTGTAGGAATAAAGGACCCTAGCCTCTGAGACAAAGTGCAGCCCACAAAATGAGGCAAGCCAGCACAGAGTATTTCATGCTCATTCCCTGCAACCTCCTCGTGCAGCTTCTTGCCTGGCTCCTCCTGTGTTTGTACCAAAATGCTGTTCTCTTACGTATCTAATCAAGCATGAAACATAAACACCTGGCTATAACCCAGCATGAGACTGAGGGTGTATGTGAGACAGATGGAGGTAAAACAAGATAGGTGAAAGCCCTCCCCAAAGTTTTTGGACAACTCCAGTGTCTTCCAAAGATACCAAAATTCCCATTTACAAAGTGAGACAGCAATCATTCTCTTCCTGTCTTTGGGGCCTGCATCAGCAAGGTGCTTGTAAAACCCGTACAAAATACAATACAGGATTTTCATATTTTTATGTTTCTTCTATGCTTGGCTTGCCAGATGTGTCTGTATACCCACTCAGTCTGCTTCCTCCATCTTCTGCAGATACCAGTATGCAGTACATAGTCCTTGCATTCATGTTGGCTATCATTTACAGGCTGCTCTCAGTTCTTCCGCTCCCCTATCTCAAATTTACTTTAGATGTAGATGTGACAAAGTTTTAGCTTGCTTTCTTTAAGAAACAAGATCTGTCAAATGATTCAGTGGGGTTCACTCTTCCGCTTCTTCCCCTCTTTTTTTTTTTTTCTTTCCCTTTTTGTTTGCTAATTTTTCCAAAGATTCCCTGTTTATTCCAGAAACAAGAAGATAATTTACGGTTTAGACAGTCTGCTTTTTTCTGCATCTGACCATTAATTTTGCTAAAAGGAAGAAAAGTACAGAGACTACCACTGACCATAAAAAGGCAGCTTTTGTGCTTCATGGACTTAGCTGGTGGTTGATGTTTCTTTGCTACCTCAATTCAAGCCAATACTGGGATTTAATTTGGCAAATTAACATGACAAAGTCAATGTCAAGACCCATTACAGTAAAGGAGAGTTCTTATTTGCAAGGTAGTGTCATAACAGCCTGGCTGCAGAGAAACAGTTTTTCTTCTGGCGTTGTGTGGGTCATGTAATCTTGAGGAAAGTCAGTCAATGGTGATTAATTTGATTTATTTTACTACTGGTTTGGGGTTTGGTAGTGCTTTGTTGCTGTTGTTTGGGATTTTTTAAATTTTATTTTACCTTAAGAATTCCTAAGTATGCAGCAGAGATGTAATTTATCCTGCTCTCATCACAATCTTCTAGCTTAATTTTTCAGAAGCATCTAGGTAAGCTCTTTTTCATTCCTGCAGGTTTTTTTTTTTTCAATGGCTTCAGCTCAGGAAGACTGGCACCCAGCAAAATTTTCTTTTACTTTTCTTGACAGTGTGGTTATGCCATCTGGAAGATCTCCCATCTGGTTCTCTGCAGCTTCCAGCTGGCTCTGTGTCTGTATCCTGCTCCAGTTGTACCTGCATAATGTCTGTTACTGTAATTTCATTGTGCTCACCTGCATGTCAGAGAATTGGGTCTTAAAGGCCTTATTTAACCATGACATTTAAACAGGTTCTTTATCCTGATTGTGAGGACTGATATGTCTGTTGACTCCTGCAGTCCTTATCTGGCAAAATCAAAAAAGCAGCACTAGTGCTTAACCTCAGTGACCAAAACAGGGCCTTTATCATCAAGGCAAGTGACTTAGCAGGACTGCTCACTGAAGTTATTCTTCTTCAGACTGTTATGGGAAATACTACATTTTGTACTGATAGTTCTTAGATAAAGAAGTTTCTGGGTGTAACTGTTACTGGAGTAATATCCAAAAGTGTATTCAGGCAAAAGTCCCTAAACTGTGTTCTTGGATCCACCCTGGCAGCGCCTTGAGATTATGGCAGGTGAAAATGTTGAGCATGTTGCAGGACCTGATTAGTTGTTTGCATGCAACTTTAGCATAAAGCTGTTACCCTCCCTTTGCTTTGCAGAAGAATATTTTCAATTTTTTTCATGATTCTTAAACCAACTGTAAATGCTGGTGGTTTATAGTGCTGGGACTCTGTTATGCAGGGATGTTGGTGGGGAAGTTCGTCAGTGAATTCTCAGAAAGGCTTAGAATGAGCAGTGTTGGGAAACCTGAGCCACCAGCTGTCTCTTTAAGAATTTTTTTCTAAGTTTGTTGTAATTTCCAGTGGTGAGAATTAATTAAATATAAAATTAAATGGATTGTTATGGAGCTTATAGCATCTGAATAAAACCAAATACGAATGATTCGATTTTTCATATAAAGGACTTCTTCCAGGAATATTTGATTTTTTAACTGCAGTCCTCACTAATTACTACCACTCTGCTTGGGAAAAATAAACTAAAATAGTAGTTTTAAATCCACTTCACTATCCCTTCCTTTTATTTTCTGTTTGCTGTTATAGTGCCTTTGTTGTGTAGTCCCATCAACACACTGCAGCAACAGCAGGACATTGTCTTCCAAATAAAGTTTTGCTGAGGAATATAATTTTCTGACAGTTAATATTTGGGTTTGTTGCTCTTTTAGCCCCTCCTTTTGGAGCTGTGGCTGTTCTGCCAGCTTTGGGTAAGAGGAGTGTGTGTTTGTATGTCTGTGTGTGTGTGTAAGAAGGGAAGTGGGTTATCCTTTTTGGTACCACTGTGTCAGTATATTGGACATTTCATTGTTGTTTAAATTGATAAAATAAATATCTCCTGTTTGATAACATAAAAGGTGGTGTTTTTTAGATTTTATCTTACAATTTAAGGCAGCATGTTTCAGTACTAAAAAAAAATTGTATTTCTAGTAATAGCATTTTATATTCACTTCAAAGTGCTGTGGATTCAAATTAAGTAGTGTTAGATTTCAATAAGATGACAGGGCTTTTGAATGGCAACTGTTCTGTTTTATTGTTCAGTATTGATTTATATTTTCAACTGAAAACAGCAGTTTTGAACAAGAAAGCAATAGCAAGCTAAACTGAAATATTTTAAATTTTTATTTCTTTTTTTAATCAAGTGACTTTGTGGAAAGCTATGTTTTGCAGTCTCCAAAATATTTAAGTTGCTGCCGTGTGAACTCATGTGAGAGAAAGAAGACAGAGAACTCCAGTGCCTCATTCTATAGTGTGAAATGAAGTTTGTGGGTGGACTTTTCACAGGGCTGCATTATGCTTTGTCTCCATGTGACATGCTGGTTAAATGGACAGGACGAGCCTTTGTAGTTTTGCAATGTCCCATTGTTATTTAGCACATAAGAACAGCTCAGTACTGGTGCAGCTGTTCATAAACTGGTGATTGGAAAACCTTGTTCAGGGCAAGATGGAAAATGCTATATCATAATCCTGAGTCTTGAAGATGCTTCTGGCAATGTGAAACACTCCCTTTCCTTAAAAACATTATTACCTCTAATTCTTGTTGTGTGATGCTGCAAATGGAGACAGTACTGAGCATCTATTAGCAATTCAGATACACAGGGCTGAGGTTGAAGTTTTGATCTTTTATGCTCTCCGAGGATCTCTGAAGAGTACTTTTCGCCTGGGGGTTTTGCACAGCCCTATTTTGTGAGAAATGCTGAGCTCCCGTTTCTTTTCTTTCTGCTTTGCTGAGGGTGGGGTTCTGAAAGCCTGCTGAAAACTTCAGTTGTAGCCTGTCTTTTTGAAGTAGTTGCATTTTAAGTACTTTGTGATCTGAAAGTATTCTAATTTCCCCCGGAATAACAAGCACCTTCCTCTAACGGTAGGCGAGAGGTGACTAGCTAACAACATTTTTCACACACACTCCCCAACTCACGTGAAATCTCACACCCCAGGGTACCAGAACTGTTCCGCACTTCTGATTTGGACATTAACCTCTTATTTTAGGAAGGAAGGAAGGGTTTGGGCTGAGCTGTGGATTTGGGATGTTTGCAAGAAGGCTGGGGTGTATAAACCAATAACTAGATGTCTTACCCTGTTGCAGCTGCCAGTTTGCATCAGGGTCTCCTGAGAACTTTTGCTTTTTGTAGAGCCCCAGAGAGCTGGTGCCATACAGGGAGAGCAAACTGAAGGGTCAAGAGGATGTCAAATATGTGCTCACCTGAGGTGTTTCAAGTGTCCTGGAAAAACCATAAAAAGACACTAGGATCTGACACCTTCCTATATGTCTTGCCCAGGCTGTGGAGTGGGGGGAGCACCGCTTTGTGACATTTGAGCATTGATCCTGAGAAGTCTACATATTTGGCAGGTCAGTTGTTGGTGGTTTGAAAACTGAGTTTTCCTGTATACTGGAAGGCTGGCTTTCTGGATACTCACAGGTTTTATCATGGTCATTGAAATTCAATATAAGAAGACAAATCTGTCCTTGATATTATTTACTCATAGGTGCTTGTTTAAGGAAGTAGCTATCATGGAACAACGTGAAAGTATCAATAGGCATGTTGATCACAGCAGAGGCAATGCCACACATACTTTTTTCTGCTGAATGCATACAAATGCAGAACTCATGACATTCTCTGTTGCGCTAGCTGCTGTATAAAAGATTAAAGCTTGGAGCAGTTTGTTTAATTAATTCCAGTGTAGCAGAGTCCATTGCTAGTATGTGACCAAAGGCACTGAAACAAAGGGTGATCTTCAGAACATGTTAACTGCAGGAGAGCGGGGGCGACTTTCACAAAGGTCACGGAAAAGGGTCCGTCCCAGCTCAGTGGGTAAGTGATCTCCCTGTAGGAGAGAGCAAATGCTGCTTTTACATACATGAGGATCTTATTTGCTCATGATGTGACAGTACAAAGGACAATCAAAATGAGTTAATGTATTCATTCTTTTCTTCTTTCTCTTTCTTGATGAGTCATAATTACTGAAAACTAATATATTTTCCAACATCAAAATATTTCATTGGATTATCAATATTCTAGTGTACTCCTTACTCTTTCATGTTCAGAATATGAAGGGGCTTGCTAGACTACAGCTTCCCATATTTCATTAAGTAGTTTATGCGTACATGGTACTTTTCAGAAAAATTAAATAGCTAATCTCAAAACCGATATTGTCAGGGTGCAGTGTATATGAAATGGTATGTTACACTGTCTTACCTTGTCATTATTTTCCCCTAATGAAAATCTAAAAAACCCCAAAAACCTAAAATCATTAAATGATTATTTAATAATTTTACCAACAAATATTCTCACATATTGTGTTGTTTGTTGTTTTGTTTTGTTTTTTTTCCTTACAATCAGAAAATACTGCCTACAAAAACCCTGTTGCTCCTTTTATCTCTGCACAGGGTCACCTGAAATGATCTCAGTATTTCCATACAAGTGGTAAAAAGCTGCTCTTTCTAGTGTCAGACTTCCTTTCTAGTCCAGCAGGTATGGGAGTGCATGCTCAGGTTCTATTACTGTGAATTCCATATTTATAATTTTTAAAGCATCTCTTTTCAGAAGCAAATGAAACTCTTTGGACAGATTTTCTGAAATTATCAAAGTTCTAAAATGGAGATAAACTCTAGCTGGGACTTTAAAAATACAGATTAGGAGTCCAAGATACTTTTGAGAACCCAGGTTTAGTACATACTTGCATCTTAGGGCACGTGGCCCTGAGTCTTTTTTTGAGGATGGGATTTAGGAACCACTATCACTCAGAGATGTGTCCAAAACATGCAAGTACTTTGCTGAACAAGACCAGACTTTGAAAAGTGTGTTTCAATGTTTCATTTAATTTGGCTGGCAGACTTACACTGTGCTTTGAATTCTGCAGTATGTGCATGGCTGGCTGAATTTCAATACCATGCATCCTGAATATGCAGGCTTTGTGCAGAAAATGATTGACTTTACTGTTGGCATCAATGTGTGAAAAGAAAGTTTTCTTAGAAGCTGCCTGACATGTCACCTAAAGTCCCTTAAGTCAACCACTGCTGGTGAGCCTGTCCTTGCCTGAATTCTCATAAGCAAGCAGCTTTAGTCTCTCTGTTCTTATGATGTCCTAAACTGTCTTGAATCTACTTGTCCTTGTGGGTGTCCTTGTTCCTTGCTGAAACAGAAAAATTTCTATTAACGTATTTTGTAGAATAAATACCCCATATTTGCTTTTTTCCCCACCTAGTTCCTTCTCAGTAACCAGCAAAAAAATCAAGCTTTTGATGACCAAGGTTCACAGGTTGTACATGTCATGGTTTTGAAGTTCTTGGCATTGCAGGGACAAGAGGTTTAAGATTATGAACAGCTTTAAGGTTCAGCATTTCAGTAACAAGGCTATCTGCAAAACTGCTGTTGCAGTATCGTTCAGCAAACTGAACTCTTTGAGCCTGACAGCTGTATTAGGAATAAGGAATAAGTTTGTGTCTCTCCAATTTTTATATATTTTGGTAATACTTAGGGCTGAATATATTGTAGTAAGAGCTTAGCAGCCACTGTTTCATTGCAAGTATACCTACTCATTGTTAGAAGACAACGTTCAGAAGGACATTATGTCCAGTGAAGTAACAATGTATTTTTTAGAATTAATTTTAATGGTAAATCCTCATCACAAGCAGATGTGCAACTTGGTAGCTGAGACTTGTTCAGTGCTGCAACACAGCCATGGGCTGCACTCTCTGTTCAGCATCTGCCACATACAGGTGATCAGCCTGCAGCTGCTCTGACTCACAGGTGAGGATGTAGTGTGGGAGAGCATTCTCGCTGCCATGCAGCAGCCAGGAGCATCTATCATCTGGCAGGTCAACCACCTCCTTAATTGAAGGAGCCCTGCCTGAAAGCACTCTTTTTGGCAATACAAAGCTTATATAATACACAAACACATATTCTATTATGAATAGCAATTGGATGAAGATACAACTACTGAAACACTGAACTGGGAGTTCTCATTTACTTGCATGCAGATAATTTGCGCTCCAATCCAGCACAACACTTGGGTATATGTTTAACCGTAAGTCTGTGAACCTCATTGAAGAAGTATCAAATGAAGCACTTGCAGAAACTTGTATAAGATCATGATCATACTGGTGAGAGTTTAGGAAGCGTCCTTGTGGCTGGATACAGAGGATTGGTGCCTTCTTTCTTTGTTTTTACAAAACAAACATACAAAAATTGCCTAGAGTAGAATAAAAATCGTAATGGCAGAAAGATGCAATGGAAAGCCTGGCATTCTTCCAGTGTTCAACATCCTTCATAACAATGCACACTGTTCTATGGCAGCATTGTCAGCCACCCAGAGTATTTAGATCATCACTGGGGAGATTTATGATCCTGCAAAAAAATGTATAATCATGACAAAAATGTAATGAAATCCAATTTCCCTCCTTTTTGCGTATTTTATCTGAATTGTACCGTATGTGACAGGACTGCAATTAATATCTCTTGTAAAACAGAAGGCTCATTAAATTGGTCTCATTATGGTTGCTGAGGTGGTTTGCTGCTGCTGAAAGGGATTCCCCCATTATCTGGTTTTGACACATACTCCTAATCAACCAGGCCAATTCTACTTTATCAAAGGTTTGTCACATGAGTGGAGATAATATTTATTCTGGCTTGTACTATTAGCGTAAAAAATGTAGGTTGCGTTGGCAGACATATAACCCTCTGTCACAAATGGCCATGCGGAGCATTTATTGAGGTGTTCCCTTTCTGCAAAGGTAATTCTAAATATAGCCCATGTCACAGGGCACCCAGGTCATTTCATTTTTTCTAAAACCTCTACTTTCAAGGAATGTTTATGAAATTAAATTTAAATAGACCTTGAGGAAATCTCACAGCACAAAGTGTTAAGGGGCAAGATTAATATCAATTCTGCAATTTCCTCCACAATTTATTGATAAAAATAAAAATAATCCAGCAGCCCTAGGTATCCAGCTTGCTTTGGATGCTTATTAGCAATAAATGTACCCCGTTCTGAGAGATCTTCATACATATCACAATAGTACCTCGTTTGTTGAAAATTTCTGAACGCTTAGTTTTGTCTCATATCAATACTCAGTTTATCAGGGATACAACTGTAGTCTGTTGGGTTTAGCAACACTAATACACCAGCACAAGGCTTAAGAACATCATCTGTAAAAGCTTATCACAGATATTTTCCCACTGTTACGGTGTTATATGTTCAAACAAAACCATTTGTAGCTGTAATGTAGCCTTATATGTTTATATGAGAAACCACCTACCCCAAACTGCAAGCCAAATGCTCTCTTAGCTACGTGTTTGTTAGAAATTTAGAACAACAGGTAGATACAAACAAACACTATATATATGTGCATGTATATATATTATAGCCCATGCAAATCATACAAACTTATTTTTCCTTTTTCATCCTTTTCCTTATATATACAGCATCTCTTACTAGGGGAGGATGCTTCCTTATCTCCAGTAATATGAAGCAGTTTCAGATACAAGGGAGAAGATGTGAACTTGAGAGGAAGGTGAATCAGCAGTGCTCATGCCAACTGTTAGAATGATGCTGCAACATCCTGGCCAGGACCACTTGCTGGGAGAATGACATAGAAATGGGGCACAAGAGTGTATAGGCTACGGGACTCCTTCTTTGGTTGTTTAAATTCTTTTTACATCAGTGTAATTTGTTTCTTAGATTACCATAGAACTGAGAGAACACTGACCTGCATTTTGCAGCAGCACCCTTGGTACAGCAGTACTGACTATTGGCTGGTACTGCAGGCAAGGTAAATGAAGCCAGGAGAAAACAAGCATCCTTTCTTCCTGAAGAAGGTGTGGTAATGTGATTGCTGTAGAAGTCACTGTCACATCAAGGAGGAAGATGAGGAGGTGTTAGGGTGATGAGCCTGAATGAAAGCAGGCACTGTTCCCTAAGTGCACGGAAGAGGTTTTGCAGGACTGTCCTTACAAACACAGCTTAGTGCCAAATTTTTTGGCCTTTCCTTTCTTTTTGTCTTGGGGCTGATGGCTGAAATGCTGGGTGTCCAGGAATAAAAACCTGAAGAAAGCTCTATCTGCTAATGACGGCCTTACATTTATGATTTGCTCCGCTATGCAGAAAAGCTTCAACTGGGACTGTAATTCAGAAGATAACATTTGTGTCTTTCTACAAGAGATGATCTGAATCAGCGTGCTGATGCCAAAAGGTTGGACCCTTTATTCCCAATTGAGAAATAAACTTTTTTTTTCTTTCTCTCTTCCCCTTATAAGGTGAAAAGCTTTGTACTGTTTCTCTGGTTCCAAACATGGAGGAATAGCTGTTATTTTACAAATTAACACAGACAGAATACTACACTAGAAAGAATTGTCTGATTGTTCTTAGGTACAGTGTGTAGAACATTGAAATCTCATACAAAGATATAATATGCTAAATCAGACAATAACAACATGGAAATTATTAATACACTTTTAACCAAAACATCCAAAGCAGGTGAAGCTAAAAGTGAAATGAGGTTTCTGATCATGTAGATGATAATTTTTACCTTTTGCAAACTCATCTTCCATGAACTCCCAGTACTGTGTGTACTTCTAACACTGTGTAGCTTGGTGGATAATTAACAAGCTTAGTATAATGCCATATTTGTTTATTCATACCTACTTCAGATTTATTACATGAAATATTCCTAAAGTCAGTGATGAAAATCAGAAACAGTGGATCTAGTCTTTTGATGAATAATTTGTGTAGAAATTGATGTTTTTGCAGACATAAATCATCAGCTAAATAAGCATTACTTTAGACAACAGAACGGTGGGGTAGTCTTTGCCCCCCAAATCTTGACCAGTCTCACTCTCACAAAGTTCCTGCTGACCTCATAGCGCTGCTGCCTTGTACATGCAGTGATCTGCTTGTCAGCTGCACGGTGGCAGTCTGGGTGAGCAGGAACTCCCCAGGCATTGCTGTGCTGGGAACAGTCCAAAAGCTGCATCTTACTTTGTGAGGGGCAATTGCTCATAGCATCAGTAGGGTTCGGAGCCAGACCTCTTTTTAATTTTTTAGAGTTACTGGAGAAGACATCTTCATGAACTGCATTTTGCGTGGATTATCAGAGCACAGCTCTGCTTGTGCTTTCAAATTTTCATTCATTTTTATTGCACAGTGCATTACCTTAAGCACTTTGCAAGATGTGGCAGAAAGAATGCAGAAACACAAGCTCATGTTTGCTGTAGTAAGTCCATCTTTCCCTCTTTAGTGGACTGAGGTCTCAAAGGGAAGTCCAAGAGCTGATAAGGGCAGGGAATAAGTCAGTTGAGTGAGCTGAGTGTGCAAATGCTAGGCCCGTTATAAGGCCAGGCATGGCCTGTCACAAGAAGCTGATTTTCTGTAGGAACTTCTAACTATAATTAGCAAAAAAACAGAGGCCAAAATTCATCCCTCTGAATCTTCCTAATCAGGAAGAAAGAATGGAAAGAAGTGTCTTGCATATGCAGAGCTCAGTTGTGCCTTATTCCAAAATGTTGGAGCTGCCCTAAACTTTAAGAGTTTAGGGTGAAGGTGAACATTTAAAAAGACTTTCATTTAGAGTTCTAGAAAACTGGGAAACAGAGGTGAAGGTCTCTGCTTGCACTGAGAGTTGTTTTCTGAAGGTCAGTGATACTGGGGTCAGTTTCGGCTGGTAGTAGGGGACTTCTGTGGTTTTTTTAATAATTGCACAGAGACATCTCAGTATTTTGCCAAGAGAATGTAATGAAACCAAAGGACAGTGGTTTAGCTGAAAATACTGTGTTGTAAATGTTAGACTGTAGGAGTCAGGCTGGTATTTTGCCAGAAAGTGTGATTTTGGGGAATTCTGTGGAAATTTCAAGAGACTGTAAACAAAAGCTGTCTAGCAAAAGGCATGAAATCCAATAGTTTTGTCTCCTGAAATACTTATTTAAGAAATACTATAAATATGTGAACAATTGAACAGTGCAGGGGTGGCAGAGGATGTTTTTTTTCATCCTCCTTTAATTTCCTTCTAGCCAATCTCATTTACGTATCAAGATGACCAATTTCTAACTTCACCCAGAAAAAAAATAAGATTTTTTTTTTTCACTCTGCTTAAATTTTAAGCTTGGTGTGGGTTTTTAGGTATGAAAGTTTTCACGGAAATTGGCAATGCCAATAGCCTTATGGTTTTCAAAGGAAACTCAACCCAGGCTTCATCAGTTCAATTACTAACACACACACACGTGTGTGCATGTGTGTGTACAGCCTCTGCTGCACTTCTTTTAGAAAGAACTTGAAGTTAGACTACAGTCCAGCACGTTATCTGAGTATTCTCCATAGGTAGATATGTACTCAGCTGACTAGCTGCTAAATAGATAGCTGCCCTAGAAACATTGCCCTGACGCTTTTAATATCATAAAAGCCTTCTGTTTTAATTCCTTATACATAAGCAAAAATAGAATGGGTTCCAATGCGAATAGGACAAGAAAATGGGATGCACATGTGTGTGAACTTAAACATGTATGTAAGTGTTTAAAGTGCTGCAGCCTGTACTAATAAAAATTACAGTTTTAGTAACTTTTAAATACTTTTTTTTTCACTCAAAATGGCTGATGAATGGCTTTTTATTCTTGTTTGGAAATATATTTTATTTTTGAATTTATTCATTTTTTTTCAGACTGCACAAAACGAAGTTCATACTTGTAGAGCAAATAGAACAAGCCATGATGCTGGAAAACTGCTTTGTCTGCCTGAGTCTTCTCCCAGTTTCTCTTAGTTATTACAGACAACTTGAAATGCCTTCCTTTTTTTGTGCTCATATACAATGCCTATCTTGCATCCATATTTTTTATCCTCTAGATCACACTATATTAAAACAGTATGAAATTTAATTTTTTTTTTTTTTGGCAATGCGTCAAAATTATTTCAGGGATAACCTTGCTCTTAATTTTCTATTAATAGGTAGTAATTTTGAAATATTTTTTTTTCTGACAGTCATTACTTGTCAAAAAGGATTTTTGTGTTTCTCAAAATGGATAGCTTAGTGCCTTTTTATTGCCTCTAAGCCTAAACTTCAGCAAGTGTGTGGTCAAGTATACCAGAAAAACCCTTTGTCCGTTGTTAAACCTTATGAAATTGTAGATCAAAAGAACTTTCCTATCTTACAAGGACTGTGGTACTATTCATGGGCTAAAAATGACTGTCAAAGTAATAAAACAACTACTGTTGTCAGGGAAAGATTAAAAGCAGCAGCTGGATTGTACACAGTCAACTTTAAAATCTTTCTCTAGGAAGGTAGATGCTTTAGAAAATGATCTGGCTTTTCAGCTGATTTGCCATGATAGGCATTCCCATAAAATGGCTACTGACACAAGAACTTGCAAAAGAAAGAAGCCTTTTTTTTTCCGTATAGAGAGAATATTCTGATTCTTGCCTTCTCCCAAATTGGACTCTGCACTTGGAAGTGAGATGCAATGCAAGTGTCATGGCAATGATGGGTGCCAGCCTTTTCTTCTGTTTTATTCAATTTACCTATCTTCTTTTTTTCTGAAATCATTCCTGCTGTCAGTTTTCTGCAGCTTGTGTTTTAACCTATGTTATTTTTACTATTTTAGTTTTGTCCCTCAAGTTCATCTGTATGTTTTGCAATTCCCCTTAAATTCAGTATAAGGCAACATCGGTTTCCATGTAATTTTTCTGAGATTGTAATCAGCTGGAACAGTACCAACTACATTTAACCTCCGTTCATATTCTACCTTTACCCCTTGTACCAAGGAGTGAAATTTTTCATTTGTCTCCAAACTTCTAGCTATCCTGCTCCTCACGTTAGCATACGTGCAGTCTTTGAAAATTTATTTATGCAAGGTCAGTGTAATGATTTCTATAAATCCTTATTTTCCATTTTCATTAGCTTTCTTATTTCTAGTCTTTCAGACTCTCTTGTTCTACTGAATGAAGTGGACTATCTTTCTATCTGTATCACGAGATTTGGCCATCTGTCTTTCACTTGCTGGTGATTTTCCCCAGATTGTCATTGTTTTTGGGGTTTTCTTTTCCTATGCATTTTTGATTTATATTTATTTCTTAAACTCTTCCCTCAAATATTTCTGACTACATAACTTGTTAACCTGGAGGATAGTTTATTTTATCCCAACAGCACCGTTGGAAATCAACTGAATGGTTTGCCAATGCTTTTCTTCTCCCTGGCTTCAGATTCCAGCTCTCCTAGTATATCAGATTGTAATTCTGGGCTCCATGTTCCTCTGTGAACATCTCTGTACCTCTCCTCACTTCTGCTTGGCTATGTTAATAAAGGTAAGACCTCTCTGTCTGTGCTGTTTTCCCTTAGGGTTGTGTGCAATGGAGTTATGAAATGGACAGCTTTGTTCCACTACCTCCTTTTTTTTACATGGACTGGTCTTAAAACCATGTATGTGTTTGGCTTTTGTGGGTTTAAGAATGCATGTGTGTTGCATAATTTGTCATAACTCAAATTCACTAGTGGTGGCTGTGCCAGGCCTGTAACGTGCCCAGTTTGTAAGCATGTACATTTTCTTCTTGCCCCTTTAGATGCTGGGCTTGGAACATACTGCCCCACAGTTATCAGGTAACATCAGCTGTGCTCTTAATTTCTGTGCTGAAGGTAGAAAATTTCATCTGGGTGCCAAAAGTTACTGTCCCTTCTTATCTTTTTTCAGTGCCCTTCCTGAAAACACAGGCTCCTACAGTAGGTGATGTTTGAACTGCTTCAGAAGGAATGTTGTGCAGAAGAGCTGCTGAGTAGGTGCTGGATGTGACTGCTGGCAAGACGGCAGGCCATGTGGTCCACCCCCTCTGCAGTTACCCTGCTTACAAACTCCCTTCACCCAAATCTATAAGCACCACTGTCTGAGTGCCTTCAGCTTCTTCTTGGGCTCAGGCACCAAATCTCACCCTTGCTGACCACGGACCTTGAAAAAAAAAAGGACAATGTCTGATTTTTATTTTTTTTCTTTTTTTCAGATCTTTCTGAAGGAGAAACACAGATAAAAGCAAAGCTCTTTGTGACTGATTTTTTTCACTATCTACTTGAAAGGCAGTGGGTCAGAATTAAGGCATTTGTGTTGTGGAGGAAATGTGTGGGATGTTGGCTGCAAGCCAGTAGCCACTAACATCCCTGATGCACTAGGAATACATGAATGAAGTGGGTGTCAACCTCAGGAGAGCGGGCAGCACTACCTACATTAGAGGAAAACCTCTTCATTCAGATTCAAGGAGTAAAAATACTGAATGGAGATAAACTGGTCTGGTACATTTTTCTGGGAGGAACAGTGAAAATGCAGGAACCATCATCCAGTCTGGAAGAATGTCCTCTCTGGTCCTGTGCTTATGAAGCTGTATTCATTCTGCAGGATGAAGAGACCTCTACAGTTCTTGGCTTCTCTGATGATTTTAAAGTTTCATCTTCTAGTTCTTTTTTCTCAGCACAAAGAATGATGAAATAACATCTGGAAACTTTTGGCCAGTAGTCCTTGTTATAGCCAACCTTCTAGTTTCTTTTTTTTTCTTTTCTTTTTTTTCCAAAACCAGAATAAAGATCTGAAGTGTAGAATATGATTTATCCAGACAGTCATCCTGCTCGTGTCCAGCTGAATAACCACTAGGGAAAACAAGTGATTTCTAGAGTTCTTTTGTACTACTAAACTATCAATCTGATCTGAAGGATCAAACAGAATACTCCCAGTGTTGTCTTTCTCATTGTTATCTGCTCTAGTTACAGAGTGAAGTCATCATGAGTCAGCCATTGGTTTTATCTAGTCTAAATATGACCACATTTTTCTTGAATCAAGTCCATCATCAAAACATCATGCCTATGAAATAGTGTTTCTTTGCAGCTCCAGTAATGTGATATGTAAGCAACAGATATTTTTTTGTCCAAAACTATAGATCTGTTGTGAGTATGCATAAGAGAAAGGCGATTCCCATCTTATTTATTTCATCAGTGAGTTATTAGTAATACAGTCATTTTTTCAAACAAGGAAAATGGCAATGATAGAAAAAGGGAAGTGAGTATTTTGGGTAAGTGTTGGCACTGGGTGAAAGAGGCCACATAAAGATAGAATGGCTGGAATACAGCACCACAAATACTTTAAAAACGTCTTCTTGCATGGAAAATAAAGAAATCCTGGGTGAGTGACATAATTACTTTTGTGTAAATCTAGATGTTTACATGGTAGTGATAATTTAGATTTTGGATACAGTTGTGCATGTTGGTTCAAACATGTCTGGTGTAAAACACTTGGCGTTACATAAAAATTAGGGTTTAGGGGTTCCAAATTGACAGCTGAGTGACACGGATGAAAAAAGTGAATCTGAGCAGGATTTGTGAAAACTAGACCCATGAACTGGAACAGGTCTACCAAAGCAGACAAGGTAATTATTGGCTTTGCTTTTATTATGGATCATAGCTTTGCACTGACAATTTGCCTTTCAAATTCTGGTTTTGGAAATGATCTGTAACAGTGTGTTTGTGGACAGTTGGTTTGCAATGTCCTACCTCCTGGGCAGAAAGCCTAGCTTTAGTGCCTCAGGGCTGTGTAGTTCCTTTGGCTGGTAAACTTAAAATCACCAGCCAACAGAGCAGGTCTAGGTGGTTTGATGGAAAATGTCTAGTATGAATCAAGCCTGTAAGATCAGGGAGAAAAATGTACTTGATAGAGCAAAACTAATTGTTAGAATTCTAATGAATTGGAGAAGTGAATTAGGGCTGCAGCTTGAAAAAGGGGGTGAGGATGAGGAAATGTGTAGCACCGGGAGGACCCATTAACTCATGCGTGTGGTGGAAGCTGCAATTGCCAAAGTGAGTGTGGACATCTGTGAGAAGACACCGAACATAGCCAGGAGTCAAAGTCTGGGAAGAGGAGAAGGACCTAGAAGAAAGCTTAATGGCAGCAACATAGGAAGGAAAGAAGGAACAATGCAGAGAAGGTTTGGATGTAATACTGGAAGATACTTAAGACATTTCAGCAAGAAAAATGGGCTTAGGTGTAATACAGTCAGGAAAGTGGAAGAAAAGAATGTAACTGTAATGTCTTCTGCTGTGAAGAGCCTTTCTTTTTCTGAGTTCCCTGGATAGGAAGCAGCAAATTAGTAAATCCTCAAAATGAATTTTGAAAGTAACCACACTTTCTGCTCTGAGAGAAAAGTTTAAAATGTCTAACATAGTTTTTGTAAGGAAAGAGAAAATGTGCCGGAGGGCTGAAAGTTCTTAAGACCAAGTTATAAACCTTTGAAAAGAGGGTTTTATAATGGGAATGCAGAGATCATTAACTATTGTAAGCACCTCTAAGAATGACACCTCTATAGTAAATTACATTCAAATTAATATAAAACTGTAAAGATTCCCTGACAGCTTTGATTATGTAAGTTGATTTTAGTAGTTAAATGTTGACTTTCTATAATGCATTCTCCAAATATTATACTGAATGCTGCATCATATATAACAATTACCATGTCACAGTGCTATTTTGTGTAAATTAAATTATTGACAGCAATATAATTTTGTATTCACTTTATTATTTTGATTCATTTTTCTGTCAAAATATACAATGACTCTTCACTAGATTTAGAAACCAGAAAAACTCTTTGGATTGTGAAGTATTATTCTACATACATTATTTTTCCTTTGCCTGTAATGAGGTTGGGGGACAGAAAGGGAAGCAACATTTCTTTCCTTCTCCAACACTGTGTGTGTTTTTTGACATGCTGTCAACTTTAAATCATATTACAGTAGGCGTGCTTATTAGAAGGCCTGCAAAGTCCATGTCAGCCCTGGGCAGCCTATCCAGGCATGCTGCAGGCCTGGTGTTTTCGGTGTAATCCAGCACAAGCACTATCCTGAATCACAGGATGGGGTTTATGATACAGTGAGTATTTAAGGACCGTCTGTTTTATGTCACAGGGTGAGTACTTTCTGTTCTTGATAATTTTGTATGAATAAAAGTGAAAAACGTCATCTGTTTGGTGCTGCTGTCTCTTCACATCTTTTCTTCCTCTGTCCTTTGTAGGTTATGGCAACAGGGGTTGTCCCTGCTTGGATGTTCAAGAAGTATTTGCAGGTTGTAGTTGTAACTGCAAATTGATACTTGCAACAGAACACTTTTAAAGATTTCTCATTAACCTTCCTCCAGACGCACAGCCTGTCAGCTCCTCACAACCTGCTAGAAGCTAGAGTGTGGAAATAGGGACACCAGCTGCATGTTCCTACTGGATTTTGGCTCTTCTCCAGACAGGTACCCTGACCTCTGCTGTGGAGCCAGTCCAGCTGGCTTACTTCATGTAAAGTTCAAAGTCTGCATCAGAAAGACATAGGCAGGCCACAGACTGAGTCTAAAACATGGTTTTGGGCATTGTCCTACAAGGTGGTGGAAGAAATGTGCTCCACTGCATTTAGGCAGAAAAGAAGGCTGAGTCCAGCACATCACACACTGTGTGCAAGGACTCTAACTCTGGGTATAAAAATCCTTCCCTTCTGGGTGGTGATAAAAAAGGCTCACAAAATGCTCAGCTTCGCTGGTCCAGACTAAGGAGGTTGGGAAAGCCTGCTTTTCAAATCTCAATGGTGTTTAGTTATGGCTTAGATCGAGCTGAACCTTAGACACATCTGCTCAATAATAAAAAGCAAAGGCACATGGGCATTCTTGAGAGCCCGGGAAGCAGTTTGTGGTCCCTGGATAAGTGAGTGCAGATTTGTCTGTGGCCACACAACCATGGACTAGCTCCCTCTTTAGCAAACTGGCCTGGGCCTGTGCCCCATGTATTGCCATGGGAGCCTTAAATCCAAAAATTATTTTTCAGATGCTTTTTAAAGCTGTGTCGTTCAGCTCTGCTGAGCATGTGCAATTGAGGAGACTAAGAGGAAAACTGCAAGTTGCCAGCATAGTGAGTATGGGACAGGTTGTAAAAGGTAACAGGGAAGGGCTAAATCCTCTGTGAGTTCATCGTGGATTTAGCAGTGTTTCCAAATGTGTCCAAGTTCATTTGCCTGTTGACCTGATGTTGGAAACATGCAAATAAAATATATTCACTTTCTATGGCAGCACAGAATTGCAAAAACTCATCTGATACCAGTGAAATATGCTTAGCCATTGAGCTTGCCTTTAATTCATTATGAAATATAATCATATTCTTATATCCACTGCATACACCAAATTGAGCTGTTTTAAAAAACAGAAGCCCAAAGAGACACTTGGCAGTTTCTGTTGGGGATTAGTGGTAGCGCTGACAGAAGATGTCACATCTTAGCCTGGACCATTCTTTTTACCCTTTGCTTAGCCTCTGTTTGACATAGCACATTCATAGCACCATTCTTTTTTCCCTTTGCTTAGCCTCTGTTTGACAAAGCACATTCAAGATCTGCAGAGTGGTGGCAGTAGTAGCAGTGCGGACACAGAAAAGAATGTTTGCTTGAAGACTGATCTGTTTTTCTGTTAGACGGTCTGATTGAAAAACATTAGAGCTGTGTCAGCCCTGCTCTCCTAAGATATTGGTATTGATATGTATTCTGCTGGCAAACTGAATTTATTAACAGTTATTGCAGAGACAATAGCGGAAGCCCCATGTCATCATGACCATTTGTGTTAGCTGCTTTATAAAATCCCAGGAAGTCGTCGATGGATAGAAGAATCATTTCCTTCTGACCTCTTGTCTAACTTCTAGCAGCCATCCCTCTTTTGATTAATTTGCATCTTTCTGTGTGCAGTTTCACGCATCTCCCTGTATGAAGCAGTTTCACACACAAACAAGTGTACGGCAGTACAGTTTTAATAGAACTGGCTTCACTTGGGAGCAGACAAATAGACTTGGGTCTTCTTCTGGCACAGGCACAAAACACTAAGCTGTGATGCTGAATTTCTCATTTGGCCTCATTTCTTGTTGGTTTGCCAATGTGGGAGTTAATTGTATAAACACAGAAATATGGGGGATAGGGAGAAATACGTTCTGTGCTCTCCTGTTTGTATAGCTCTGCTTCTCACTAGTTTTGTTACTGTATTGCTTACAGCAGTTTAAATGGCAAGGGTGATGAGGAACAGGTGGTGAAGAGAAATTAATGTGAGAGGATATGGAATAGGAAACTGTTCCTCCCAGCATATTTCTGTTCTATCCCATACAAATGGGAACTCTATAACAGTATCCTGTCACTACACCAGAAGATACAATGGCATTGAGTTCAAGTGTTAAACAAGTATATGTCCTGTTTCAGCTAATTCTGGCATCTGAGATTCTAGGAGGCAGTCATCCCTCTCGATACCTAAGTGCTCAGACATTGTGGTGATGAGCCAGGCCTTGTTAGAAACCCAGGTTACTAACCTGGAGAAAAGAATTTTGCACAAAAGGAAGATTTAAAGACAAAACAGAGGAGACAAGAAATAATAGCTGGTTAAGTTATCCCAGGAGCTGGGAAAGACAAACCTGCTGGGCAGGTATTCCCTAACAGTATAATTTTGAGTTTACTAGCCTGTCTTCTCCTCAATGTATCCTCTATTTGTTCAAAGAAAATCATCTGCTCCTCTCAGTTATTTCAAAGTAAAGTCACAAGAATAGCTTGTTCCCACTCTATTCCAAATATAGCTGTTGACAGCAATTGCTGAGATAAGGGGAAAGGAAAAGGAACTACCAAGGAAGAGGAAAGGCAGCAGGGGGAAGAGAGAAAGGAGAGCTGAAGAAGTTGGACAACAGAGAGTAGAGAGACACGAATGAGACAGGAGGTGGAAGAACAAGGACAATACATTGCAGAAAGAAAACAAAACAAAGATAGAAACAAACTCCTGCAAATCAGGTGGAAGCAGACCAAATGAGAAGGACCATGCTCACCCTAAGGAGAAGTTTGAGTTTTAGACTTAAAAATTAACCAAACCTTAAATAAAATCATGTCCAATTAAGACTTTTACTCAGACTTGTAGGGGTTATAGCATCAGAAAACTTGCACTAATTGCTTGAAGATGTAGCCCTACAAATTTTGAAGCAAGACATGTTGCTTATTTTAATCTCCTGTGGGATTTAAAAAAAGTAATAATTCTGCTCCAAGAAAATTTGTTGGCAGTTTGTGACAGAAAGTCATCCATTGAGTAACTTTACTGAAGAGGAACCTGAACAGCCTTGTCCTCAGGAGTTCACAGTCAGGATGGTCTTCTGGTGAGACTGGAGCACGTAGACATGTCCTCAGGAGCAGAAAATAAATCATGATAAAAACTAAGGAAAAGCCAGAATCACACTCAGACTGACTTACCCAGCACAAAGAGCTGAGGGTTTTCAAGGCTCAAGGCAGATTGGTTTAAGACCAAAGCACAGGGAAATAAGACATAAATTTAAACAGGTTCTGAGAGTGGTACATAGACAGGGCAAAGGCAAATGAGTCCCTGGCAATCTAGAAATATTGTGAATGCTCCAGCTTCCCTGGAGGGGTGGGAAGCTTCTGAGAAACACCCCACACAGCTCTCCTGCTTCTCAAAAGACTGCCTGAAAAATGGTGCCAGAGTTCTGATTTCTCTTCTGGTGGGCTGAAGAAATGCCATACATGGTTTTACTGCTCAGCTGAGGGTGAAAAGCCATATCCAGTACTATAAAAGTATGTCCAGAAAACCTTCTGAGAAGCTTTCAAAGTACTCAAACACTAGGTAGTGGGACTGACAGGAGAACTGAAATTGTCACACTTTCTGTTTTATTTCAGTCTTCAAAGAAGAAGGCCACCTGCATTGCTAAGGGATGTGCTCGATTAGTCTCTCTCTGGACTAAAGGCCCAGGGCAGCCATGGGGCAAGGTGGTATTTGCACAAAGAAGAGGAGACACATTAGAGCAGGAAATACAATGGTAAGTGAAACTAGTTTTGGAAGAAAGGACTGGAAAGTAGAACTTAGTAGTCAGACTGCTGTTATTTAGAAACAGTCATCATAATTTTGAGTCTTGTCTCATGAATGATACGTATATCCAAGTTCTCCCTGTTATGAGAAGCAACCTTTTGTTGTTGTTATTCCTCCAGCAAGCACCATACAAAGCCAATATTTCAACCTTTTAGCATGGATGCTCCCTCTATGGCTTGCTTCCAACATCTCTCTCAGGTGTGTGGACTCTGTCCTGACTCTTCTGGGACTACAGGAATCACAGCCTGTGGGCCAGCAGTCAGGCAGTTCTGCTGCCCTTGCTGGGATTCCCGACTCTACAGGACTATGCTTTGATGTCTCTAGGTAGCACGGTTGTGATGTAAAGTTTTCGGGGTGCTGTTACATGGTGAAACACCAGCAGCACCCTCAGCCCAGGGCACGGCTTTCTGCTGAGCGTCCGTGTCCCCGCCGGCTCCAGGGAGCGCCTTCCCCCAGGAGAGGGCAGTGGAGCCCGCACACGCTCCCGACTCGCTCCCGCCGGCCGCGGCAGCTTCCGTTCCCCCGCTACTACGTGAGGAACGAAAGCGGTGAGCAGAAGCAGGGCTACAGATTTAATAAATGTGCTAGAAGCCATGTACGGGAAATGTTCTGCGTATTTAATAACGAGAATAGGTTCTGGGCAAACGAGTTTGTTGTTACTTTTATTTGACTGGAAGTTTTCTCTGTTGCGCACACTTGTTCTCAGCCGCACAAACTTAAACTAGTAACTTGCTGATTACGCACGGGTTTGTTTAATTCCTATGGCCCAAATTAGAAAAGGTTATTGACATTTAAATAACTCTTCAGGATGCTGCTAAGGCTCTGCCAAGCCAAATCCTCACAATGAAGTCGTTTACTTACTTCAAATTTACAGGCATTCATGCCAAGACAACAAGTAGCCTTGGCTGAAAACTGCAGAGTGTGGTTAAGGTACTGTAATTAAGGGCAGACTGGGATGCCTTCTCCTCTACTTTTTAACCATCCCCTTCCCCTAGCACACCAGTAGTTAGGCAGCTGTTTTCTGTAGGCTGGTGTTTACAGCAGGTTTCCCTGGCTGGCTACCAGGTTTAAGTAACTGGCCCATACAGGCTGAGAGTCTGTAGCACACCGGTGAGGGCCAGACACAGGAGATTTCAGGGAAGTGGCTTTTGCCTGCAGTCTGGGAATCCAGCAGGCACCACTGGCAAAACAAAAGGTATTGCGTTTGCATGTCAAGGTTTTGGTAGCGGGGATGCTACAGGGGTGGCTTCTGTGAGAAGCTGCAAGAAGCTTCCCCCATAGCCAATAGGCCAGCTCCAAGATGGACCCACCGCTGGCGAAGGCCAAGCCCATCAGCAACAGTGGTAATGTCTCTGGGATAGCAGATTTCAGAAGGGGAAAACAACCCAGGCAAACGCAGCCACAAAAAGGAGAGAGAATATGTGAGAGAAACAGCTCTGCAGACACAAGGGTCCATGTGGAAGGAGGGCAGGAGCTGCTCCAGGCACCAGAGCAGAAATTTCTTGCAGCCTGTGATGCAGACCATGGTGAGGCAGGCTGTGCCTCTGCAGCCCATGGAGGTCCATGGAGGAGCAGATCCACAGAGGAGCAGATCCACCTGCAGCATGGGTGGACACCACCCTGGAGCAGGGGGATGCCTGAAGGAGGCTGTGAGCCTGTGAGAAACCTGTGCTGGGGCCTGTCCTGGCAGGACCTGTGGAGTGAGGAGCCCACACTGGAGCAGGTTTGCTGGTAGAACTGGTGACCTTGGGGGGGACTCACACTGGAGCAGTCTGTTCATGAAGGACTGCGAGCCATGGAAGGGATCCATGCTGGAGCAGTTCATGGAAGACTGTCTCCCGTGGGAGTGACCTCACACTGGAACAGTGGAAGAGTGTGAAGAGTCCTCTTGGGAGAGACAGAGACGTGTGATGAACTGACCACAACCCACCATTCCACATCCCCTGTGCCACTGTGGGGGAGAAACAAGAGAATTTGGGAAGAAAGTTGGCCCTGGGAAGAAGGGAGGGGTTGGAAGAATGTCTTAACTTTTGGTTTTATTTCTCATCATCCTACTTTGATTTGATTGGTAATAAATTTATTTCCCCGAGTCGAGTATATTTTGCCTGTGACAGTAATTGGTGAGTGATCTCCTGTCCTTAACCCATGAGCCTTTTGTCACATATTTCTCCCTGCCTGGTTGAGGAGTGGAGTGATAGGGCAGCTTTCGTGGGCACCTGGTGTCCAGCCAGGGTCAACACAGCATGGTAAATCAGCATTTCTTCCTGTGAGAACAAGACAAGTCCCTGTATTCCCCAGAAAAGGGGCAAATTCGAAAACTCTGAAATCGAGCTTTGGAAAGATGTTCTCTTTTATGTGAAACACTAAGAAACCTCACCAATCCCAACCTGAATTTAGCCCAGACTTAGGAGAGACATCCCTTGCTGTTGTAAGGTGACAGGGTCGCTCATCTCCTATCCAGGAACAAGTCCTACTCTCGCGGGCACCTGCTGAACTGGGGCCACCCTAACGTCCCCAAAGCAGTGGGGTGCACAGTGGAAGTGGCAGGGTGCGTTTCCCAAGCAGGCCCACTAGCATTGCTGTGGTAAGCATGTGAGATTGGTTGATTTTTGCTACAAAAGTACAGTAACCCCTGGAGAGATGACTCAAATGTCATGTTAAGCTGGTTAAATGGTGTTGCCAGCTCCACAGAGGATGAGCTGCCTTTTCTTGCCCAGCCACTCTCAAGCTCAGGTATGGAGGCAAGGATAATTTTATTTCTGCAGCTCCTGTCTCAGGTTCTTGCGGTAGAGAATGACTGCAGGAAAATACACCCAGTGCAATGTCAGCTAGCACCTTGTTAAAAAGAGTAAATACAATAAATCCAAAGGTGGCTGGTTTCAAAGAAATTGGGAATAACAGAGAAGTTCTGCCCTTCAGCTCTGAAGCCTCCTCAGTCAAGGCTATACCCAGTCAGACATGTCACACTCATATGAGGCGCAGCTCCTCTTCTTGGTGCAAGCGGGGCTTGGGCAGTTTAAACCAGCAATCTGTCCATCATATGAAACCACGTGGCTTATAGGAACCACAGAAATCAGTAGGATTTTTTGTGTTTAAGGCTCATTGACGTCAGTGCGAATTGGACAGTCTAATCCTCAGTCTGTTATAATTAGCCAAATGGGGATCAAAGGCTCTAAGCACATGCAAACACTACAGCAAGAATATCCAAAAAGGGACCAGAAACATTTGAGTTTCATCTGTCAACATGTTCCTGAAGACCAAACATTAACTACATTTCCAAATTGCTCTGCACCAGATCCTGCTGCCATTAAGACAAAGCTCTCATTGAGAGAAATCAAGTGATTTGATTGTCCTTATAAAGGCTGGAAATCAGGCACAATTTACCCCATTCTTGAGAAGCCTTTTAAAATTAACCTACAAAGTCAACTATTAGTAGAATTCCCTAGGTGAAGTAGCCAGCAGGAACGTTACATTTTATTCATAACCATCTTTCTTTTAAACCTTCTCTGTAACAGAAGAACATTAAATTTACCATGTTAGTTCAAAGGTGGGATTGAGACACGGGGAGGTTAAGATGGGATGTGAAACCTTGGTTCTTTCTCCTGTGTGGCATCAGCAGGCATGTGATATTTTCAAATAACACAGGAAGATGTTGCAGGGTATCCCTAAAAACTGTATCTGATACACCTGCGACATTTTGCAGGAAGGAGAATACTGTACTTAGAATTACCTGTTTCTCAAATTCATGTAAAGTAACTCACCCTAGCACACAACAGATTCCAATATTTTGTTCTTTCATAGTAGCGATTAGCCCATTATAGCTCGGCTGTAATGGAAAGGTACAATACAATTGCTCCTACTTCTCAGTCAAATTTCCCAGAACCTGTCTCTCTCTCTCTGTCTCTCTGTCACAATTTTACTTTTAAATTGAGATGGGTATTTTAAATTAAAATATCTAGAATCCTCTTGAAATGGAACATGAGCTTCCTTTCAACTAAATCTCATATGCCAAACTGTATTGGCTGTACATTAAGTGCTAGAAGGGACAGGTAACAAAATCTACATTAAAAACCAACAAGTACTATATGTTTACTAATTACTGAGCACACTTCCCCAGTCCACCTATCAAGGAAAATACTTAGGTTTATATCTACTATTCCCTAACAGTTGTGACAACTGCCCCCAAAACCTTTACTTTTTCAGATACCCTCCTGTCTAGACTGGGCTTCAAGGTGACCAGAGGAGTAGTAAACCTGGAGCCTCACTAATGGCAGTGAAAGAAAAGTGGAAGAACTGAAAAAGTCTTTCTCAGCTCGGGTGTGAGGTGTTGCATGGATAAGGAGAGGCCTGGGGGACAGGTACCTAGGGACAGCATTTGGGACCCAAGGCAGGGTAAGTGCATGAGTCACAGGGACACCCAAGCACGCCACACGTCTGTGGCACACGCTGTAATGTGCTAACCCCCGTAAACAGTGGTATCTGCAGTTAAAAATTAAAGTGAAGGGTGTTTAGCCTTCCCATGTATCCTCTGGCTTGCTGCTTTGGAGCAGGAGTGTGCTTTTGTAGCATCACTCATATGTTGCCATGTCTTTCTGCTGCTTGGGTCATCAAGTGGGGTATTTTTACTTCTGCAGACCACTGAAAAGGGACCTTGCACGCTACAAACCATATGTGAGAGCTGCTTTCCCAAAGGCGGGAATAAACAGCCACGAGATGAAATATTCGTAAGTAACAAGATTAGTGACATGAGCATAGCATGGGATACAGCTCTCAGAAATCATTGCATCTGACACCCTCATCAGCAAGAAGATGTAGGGGCTGAAAGCTCTGAGCCTGGGAACAGCGTATGAAAGATTGGCTTCTCCTGGGAAGGGAGGCACAAGGGAGATTATTTTTAGTACCTGGGGAGGGGTAAAAAGAAGAAAAAAACTAGAATTTAAGCACTCTTTAGCTGGATACTCTCGTCGTGGAGGAGAGCATAGGGAAAGGAAAGCAAAGGGGAGTGGAAATGGCACCGGTCCCAGCAAGGGGGAGCGGCGGCGACGGGACGAGGCGGGAAGGGGGGGGGGGGGCGGTGGCGGTCCGGCCGCCCCCCCTCCCCATCCCCGGCGCTCCCTCCGACAGCAATAACAACCCACCGACGGCGGAGCAGGCGGGGCCGTTTTCGCGGGGGTATATATAGATCTGACACTTTCCACAAAAAGCACGACGCGCTCGCTGCGCTTAGCGGCTCTTTCCACCCGTAATTCACAAAAATATCATCTTTGTTGTTGTTGTTGTTAAGAAAGGAGCAGCCGCGTTCCGTGCATGCGGCTGTTTTCTGCCTCGCCGCCGCTCTGCGGTTAAGGGCTGCTTGAGAAAGTGAGAGGGGTCCGGCGGGGCGGCCCCGGGACCTCCTCTGCTTTTCCGAGCTTTTTAACATTTTCCGGAACGAGCCCTAAAAGGACAAGCGGGGCGGGGCCGGATCCGAGCCTTTTTAGGACAAGGGCCCCGCCACCGGAATACCCCCCTGGGCGGCGCGGCGGGCGGCGGCCGGGCGCTGCCGGCGCGGCGGGGGCCGAGGGCGGCCGGGGCGGGTCGGGGCCGCCCCCGCGGGGCGCGCAACGCTGGGAGTAGGGGGGAAAAGGGGGGGAGTCGGGGCGGGAGCGGGGCGGCGGGTCTCGCATGCGGGCGCCCACGTGACTGCCAGACCCCGTTCCTCAGTCCTTATATGGGCAGTGACGTCCCGGGCATTCAGGGGGCCCCCATAAATACTTACCGCCAGACTTGTCCTCCAGCGCGAGCTGCGGCGGGAGCGCGGCTCTCCCGGGGCACCGCGGGCACCGGCACCGCCGCGACGGGGCGGCTGCCCGCCCGCCCGCACATGCCCCCCTGCGCGCCGCGCCGCCTGCCCGCAGTCCCCCCGCGCCGGTAGTGAGAGGCAGGGGGAAGCGCCCCCTCCTCTCTCTCCCCTCCCCGCCCCGAGCGCGCACCGCTGGCCGGGAGCAACCGCTCCCCCGGCAGCCCCGCCGCCCCCATGATGACCGCCAAGGCGGTGGACAAGATCCCGGTGACCCTCGGCGGGTTTGTGCACCAGCTCCCCGAGGGCATTTACCCCACGGATGACATCTCCGCCGCGCTGCCAACTTCGGTCGCGATCTTCCCCAATGCCGACCTGGCAGGGCCGTTTGACCAGATGAGCGGTGTGGCAGGAGGTAAGCGCTGCCCGCACAGGTGCGGGCCGGACCTCGGAGGGCGGCGGAGTCCAGAGGCGGAGGGAGAGCGGGGGGGGGAAACTGGAACGGGGATCGCGGCCCCTAGGGCTCGCCCGCCGCCCTGCCGGGGGGGGTCCCGCCGCCCCTCGCGGCAGCCCTGACTCCGCGCCCGTTTCGGGGGGAAAAGTTGAGACCGGCGCGGAGCCCCCGCAGCCGGAGCGCAACATGTGCGCTCCGCAACCCCGCGCCGGGCAGGGCTGGGTGGCGGTCGGGACCGGGGCCGGGCCACCCGGCGGGTGGCGGCGCGGCAGGCTGACCGGCTCCTTGCCCCCCCAGACGGCATGATCAACGTGGATATGGGCGACAAGCGGACCCTGGACCTGCCCTACGGCGGAGGCTTCGCGCCCAACGCCCCGGCCTCCCGCAACCAGACCTTCACCTACATGGGCAAATTCTCCATTGACCCGCAGTACCCCGGCGCCGGCTGCTACCCCGAGGGCATCATCAACATCGTGAGCGCGGGGATCCTTCAGGGGGTCAGCACGCCCTCCTCCTCCTCCGCCGCCTCCTCCGCCGCCGCCTCCTCCGCCGCCTCCTCGGCCACCGCTGCCTCCGCCGCCTCCGCCGCCTCCGCTGCCTCCCCCAACCCGCTGGCCGGGGCCCTCGGCTGCACCATGGCGCAGGGCCAGCCGCCCGACCTGGAACACCTCTATTCGCCGCCGCCGCCGCCCTACTCGGGCTGCGGCGACCTGTACCCGCAAGACCCCTCCTCAGCCTTCCTGCCGGCCGCCGGTGGCGGGGCGCTGCCTTTCCCCCCGCCGCCCTCCTACCCCTCCCCGAAGGCGGCGGCGGCCGACAGCGGGCTCTTCACCATGATCCCCGAGTACGGCGGCTTCTTCCCGCCGCCCCAGTGCCAACGGGAGCTGCACGCCGGCCCCGACCGCAAGCCCTTCCCCTGCCCCCTCGACTCGCTCCGCGTCCCGCCGCCGCTCACGCCGCTCTCCACCATCCGCAACTTCACGATGGGGGCGCCCCCGGCGGGCGCCGCCCCCGGCAGTGCTCCCGGCAGCGGCGGGGGCGAGGGCGCGGGCGCCCGGCTGCCCGCCGGCGCCTACAGCCCGCACCACCTGCCGCTGCGGCCCATCCTGCGGCCCCGCAAGTACCCCAACCGGCCCAGCAAGACACCGGTTCACGAGCGGCCCTACCCCTGCCCCGCCGAGGGCTGCGACCGCCGCTTCTCCCGCTCCGACGAGCTCACTCGGCACATCCGCATCCACACGGGCCACAAGCCCTTCCAGTGCCGCATATGCATGCGGAACTTCAGCCGCAGCGACCACCTCACCACCCACATCCGCACGCACACCGGCGAGAAGCCTTTCGCCTGCGACTTCTGCGGCAGGAAGTTCGCCCGCTCCGACGAGAGGAAGCGGCACACCAAGATCCACCTGCGCCAGAAGGAGCGGAAAGGAGCCGCCGCCGCCGGCGGGTGCCCGCAGCCTGGCGGCGGGAGCGGCGCTGCCACCCTGGCCCCCTGCGCGGCGCGGACGCGGACGCCCTGAGGGAGCGGGGCGCGCAGGACCGAGCGCTGAGGCGCGGAGCCGCCGAGCCGCCGAGCCGGGGAGCCACAGCCGAGCGCGGCGGGGCGCGGAGCGGAGCCCTGAGGGGCGCGATCAGCACCCGGCGGCGCCGCGGGCTCCTCCGGACCGGGTCGGGCCGGGCCGGGCCGGGCGGGGCGGCCGGCCGGCGGGTGTACATAGGGGCTGCGGCGGGAGGATGGATGGATGCATGCAGTGCCGTCGTGGTGAGGTGTCCTTGGTGCCTTGTGTGGTGTAGAGCCCGGTCCCCTGTCTGCATGTGGGGGGTGCCTTACCGATCCGCTCCGACGACAGCGGCGACACCGAGACCGGAAAGTTTGCCCTCCCTGGTTTTAGTATGGCTGTACATTTCTGCCTATTAATATTGGGATTCTTTTTTCTTTTTTTTTTTTTTTTTTTAGAGACTATATTTTTGTACGCACTGGTTTAGGGTTTTGGTTTTGGTGACTTAAAAGTGTTACGTTTGTAGTAGGACTTGGGATGGATGTAAATACTCTGGCTGGAACCGACGCCCGTTGTTCGCCGGGTCCGGCGCGCAGCAGGTAACACGAATGATGCACAACCACTAACGGAGGCTGGAAGGAGAGAGGATTTCTTTCCGGCCGCTCTGTAAATAAACTTTTCGACAATAGGGTAGGTGCTTACAACGTTTATAAAAGACAACAAATAAATCTCTTAATTATGCTAAACTGACACATTTATTTCCGTAGGTCCCCTGGCCGGCCCTGGAGGGGGTGGTTACCCCCCTCCCGGCCGCGGGTGCCGCTGGGCGAACCGCACCGCCCCGGGGAGGAAAACCAGCGGCCGCGGCCCCGGTGTACTGACACCCGCGACTCGGCCGCGGGGATTTCCCTTGGAGACGAGACGGGATGATATTAACCGGGGAGAGGGGTGGGTTTTTTTGACTCACTTTCTTTTGTGTTCCGTGGTTACGATCCGCCCCAGGCAACCTCCCCTAGCGGGCCCGGGAGCACCGAGGGCTGCCGCCCCGACGGCCTCCCCGCGGGGAAAGCGGCTCCCGGCGGCGTCCCCCGCGCCCGCCCTCAGGGCTCCACGGGTCCCGGGCGGCGGCGCCCACCCTGCGGGACAGCCGGGCTTTTCTGCTGCACCCATCTGCCGCAACACCGCGCGGCATTATCTTTACTTCTTTTAACCTATTTTAATTGCTGTTTTTTAAAATGCCACCCTGGCCCTTCCCTGCCAGGGCCCACCCTCGGGCCCTGTCGTTGGTGCAGGGCTGTAGGGGCCCCGCGGGCTAGCCCCGCTGCCGCAGAGATCCCTGGTATGGCCCGTACCACACAGGTGAGCCACGTGGGATTGGACCTCGCCACTAACGCCACAGCCCAACACTGAAGGGAACGGGGACAAGGCCCTTGCCCAGTGGCTCCCAGCCTCTGCTTGCCCAGGTGCTGGGTCCCATTGCACAAAGCCCCAGTGGCACCAGGCTTTTCTGTCTGAAACACCCTGCTCACTCTCTACTGGAACTGGCACTGGCTTTTGCTTGGGAAAGGCGGTCAGTAGCAGCTGAAACACTGTGTCTGATTTTGAAGCAGACAGCAGGCTTCCAAAGTGATTTTTGATTCTCCGAATCAAAAGCCAGGCACGGACCAGTCTGTATGGGATGGAGAAGTCACAGAATGATGCCAGCTCCAGAGCCTCAGTGCTCACCACCCTGCCATCCACCTCAGCAAAGCGAGTAAGCCTTCACCTTTCCTGCCGCATCTCTTAGTGGGTTGCAGCTTTGCCACCTGATCCCATGAGCTCCTGGCTCCACAAAAGAGACCCCGGTATGCTGCTGGAGGGATGTCACACAGGAGCATAAGTCCACAGGTTGATTTGCACCAGTGGGCTGCGCTACGGGGAGGCGGACAGGGATTCACTGCTCTCAACCTGCTGGGCTCCCAGAGGTACTGCCACAGCCACAGATAACCACAGCTTGGCCACAGCCAGACTGTCGTGAGCAGAACTGGGATCTCAGCTACCCAGGCGCACAGTCCAAGGCTCTGCTCACACTCTTCGAACTGCCTTCAGCCACACTCCCAGATTAAAATCCCTGTCAAAAGCAAAGCGAGACAAACGGCACAGAAATTGAAAATGAGCTGAAGAAACTGCGGTGACTAGCAAGCAGCTACAAGAGAACCTTACATCGCACAGTAGTATCAGCAACCTCGCACCCGTGCCTTTGCCTTGCAGTAATAGCCAGCTTCAAAAGCATGTGCCTGCGTTTGTCTACAAAGAGCCAGTGGAAGACTTGTGCTGAGAAGCCAGTGTCATGCACCACCTCTCTGAAAAAGGCCAGTCGCCCCATTTGGACCGTTAGGCAAAAGAAACGTGCACTCTACACCATGCTTGGTTCAAGACTGCTGAACTTGTGAAGGAAAGCAAAGACTGATCAGTGGTGAGATATCCTGTATTTATTCTAAAATTCAGCAATAACACTAATTTTGCTGTTGTGAAAACACAATAATTGGACTGCAGAGAGACGGAACAACATTATAGACTTAAACCTTCCGCTTACAGATATCCAGAAAATATGAAGTAAGTTTCAATTACTGAATAAGCAAGAAGTTACACAAATGCATTTCAGGTTTTGTCATTTTCCTCAGCTTTAATACTTTGATGCTATCACCTTCACTAAAAAAGTAGGGTTTTGCCACAGCTGTTAGTGGCACTCCACAGCCTCAGGTACCACGGTGTCCTCTATGGAAAGATGTGTTAAAGTCCTGTGCCACTGAACATCTCAACTAGGTTTTATACACAGAGAGAAAAATTAAAAAACAGGCAGAAAGACCTAATGGGAGGACAGAGCAGAGGAGATAAGAAATGCTTCTTTTTGCAGTCTGTTTTTCCAGTACAGCTGTTTGCATGAACCACACCATCTTTGTGAACTTCTGAAAAAGGATGATGATTTTCATTAGCATCGGCAAGGGTTAGACCCAGGCTGTAACACAGGGAGGCACTGCCTTATAGTTAAGGACTACATTTGATGGATAATTGTTAAATATTAACTAACGCTAAACTGCAGGGGAATTCCAGGAAAAACAGGTAAGCCAGCTGCAGAAATATCAGGCACCTTAAAGTGCTGTAAGAATAAATGGAAATCACCCAAAATAATTTCCACCAATTTTTCCTTGCAAAAGAATTAATCTGTGCATGCATAATGCTGACGGTGTTTTACATTCATTCTTTTACAGGCCAAAAAAAAAAAACAGAAAACAAAGGCAATGCTATATCAGAATAACTTAAAAATTCACACATACAAGCCACTGTACAGGAAAAACAAGTCTGTTTTATAAATACACAAAGGAAAATTAAAGCCAATTGTGGAATGATTTCTGGAGCAGGTTGGTACATCACTTAGGATATTGGCAAGTCGCTGTCTTATTCAAATTCCCACATCATGGCTAAGAGGGCCAAAGCTCCCCCAGCATGTGCTTGTGGTGCAAGGTGTATGTTAGGCTGATGGCAGAAGACCAGTCCATGCAGTACAGACAGAGTACTTCACCTGCAGAGAAAGGTTCTCCCTTGTTAGACTGCATCCCTTGTCCTGTGCAAACTGCATCTCCAGACTGGTTCCATTATAGCAAGGCAAAACTCACGGTGTCTCTTCTATGCTACGTTTATTTAAAAGCCTTATGAAAAAGTAGTCTTTATAAATAGTATAAAGAGGAAAACCGCAAGGCTTCAAAAGCCCAAAGCCTTCACTTGTCCATATAAAAACACAGGCCATGCTTTAAAGAGAAGACAGCAGATCAAATCTTATCTGTGCATACCTAGTGTATGCGCGCTGCTGTATATATAGGGTTCACAAATACGTCGTGTTTCTAGAACAGCTTTCTTGACACAACAGTGGAGAATTGTTTTTCTCTCAAGATGCCCAGTTTCCGCTACCCTCCACCACTGCTGCATGAGAGGTTCTGAGCAAGGGTAGCTAGCAGCTGGCTAGTCTCCTCCTAGCTGAAGGAAATATGCATAGACGTACTCTGCAGTTCTCAGTTGTAACAGCGCTATCTTGTATGCAACGCTTGAAAGAACTATTAGAAAGTAACTCTGGACCTAACAGTGTCCCTTCTGAGCAGGAACTCCCCTAGCTCCAGCCGTAGGGATTACGGGTGGAGCATGTCCTGGTTTGGGAATCGTTCGGGGCTTGTTTTCTGCTGGCAGGTACAGCTCTTGCTGAGAACTGCTCTGGTGATGGCGTCCCCAAAGGCTGCAGCCCAGCCAGCCCCTGCCCAGGCTCGGTGGGTGGATTCCACAGGCTGGCTGTCCCACACCGGTGCTAGGTTGCTGTGGCAGCGGGGACACCTCCTGGGACGTCAGGGCACCCCGCAACAATGCTCACTGCATTTACCTTCCCTGCCAGCGCCCGAACCCCCCTCACTGATGCGCGGCCGCAACTATGTACACAGCATGCTGGATTATGTTTCCCCAGCCATGCAGCTGAGCACAAGTTTAACCGTGCCGCTACTTCTCCGCACGAGCCCGAAGGACATAAACACGCGCTTTATTTCCCCGATTTGCGAAGCACGCCAGGCCCGTGTAAAGAAGAATTCTTTGCCTCGTAGCGCTCCCGAGGAGCCCCAGCGCGGTCCCGCGACACGCGGCGAAGCGCGACCTCGGCTCCGGGCCACTCCGGCAGGCCGGTCCTTGAGGCGGGCGCGGGCCGAGCGCCGAAGGTCCCAGCAGCCGCCGCCCGGACCAGGCCGCCGCCTCAGAGGCAGACGCGGGGCCCGGGGTAGGGCTCTCCGCCGCACCAGAAGTCAGAGGCCTGCGGGGTCTCCATCAGCCACACCTCCCGCGGCAGCCCGGGCGGCTCGGCGCCCGCCTGCGGCAACGGCCCCTCCAGCAAGCGGTAGTAGTGGCAGTCCCGGCCATGCTGGGGGTCGTAGGGCGGCGCCAGGATGTCGAGGAAGGCGGCGGGCCCGTCCACGGCGTCGATCTGGTGGAGGTTGTCGGTGTGCGGCGAGAGCAGGCAGGGCGGGGAGGCCGGCGTGTAGTGCTGGCGGGAGCGGTACAGGGCGCGGTGGCAGGGCCCCGCGGCGGCTGCGGGGGGCGGCGGGGCGGCGGCGGCGGGGGGCAGCGTGTCCAAGCAGGCGATGCGCAGCGTGCCGTAGAGCACCTTCAGCATGCCGTTCATGCCCGGGTGGTCGTGCAGCGGGATGCAGGCGCCGCTCCGCAGCAGGAACACGCCCATGCTGAAGCTCTCCGTCTCGCAGATGTGCATGTAGCTAACGGGCGGCACCACGCCGGACCACGGCAGCCCCCCACCCGCTGCCGCCGCTGCCGCCGAAGGCCCCCGCGGCGCCAAGTGCAAGTCCTCGGCGCGCACTTCGTCCAGCAGCTGCTGCAGCCGGTGCAGGTTCTCCCCGAAGGTCGGACCCGCCGGGCTGCGGAAGGTGATCCGCGCCTGCCGCGCCACCCGCTGGATCAAGGAGGCCATGTTGTCCCGGGGCATGGCGGCGCACGACCCGGCCCGGCCCGGCCCGGCCGCCGCAGGCGGTCCCCTCGCTGCTTCCGACTCCTCCCCTGTCCCCGCCGCGCAGGCGCGCCAGCGCCGCCGTGCACCTCGGGGCTCGTAGTCCTGCCCGTGGCCGCGGCCCCGCAGCTCCGGCTGCTCCTCAGAGTCCTGCAGGGCCAGGGGCCGTGGAGGGCCGAGAATCATGGCTCCCAGCAGGGTCGGCGGAGGTGA